TTTTAAATTTATAATAAATAATTTATAGGATAGTATAAAATTATTTTTATTTATTAATAATTTATTTTTAAATATTAATGTATAATCTATAAATAATTTAATAAATTAAATTAAATTAAATAAAAATTAAAAGAATTCTTACAAATCACTTCAATAACAATTTATATTTAGTATGCATAATTAATAGGTTATAGGTCGAAAGAATTATATAATATACTTTACTTAACTTTATTTTATATTTAATAGGTTATAGTCTCTCTCTCTCATTTTTTTCCCTTCCTTCCATTACTCTCTTCTCATTTCCTTTCTTGGCTGAAACATGGGTGTTGGTGTTTGATTTGGAAGGTGAAGCTGTTGAGAATCAAGAAGAGCAACAAAGTTAATCTTCCTCCCCGAAGTAATTTCATTTCTTTTCTTCTTCTTTTTCTCCTCCCTGGGAGTTTGAGATCGAAATTCTTCTCCCTCCGAGGTAAGGGAAGCTAGAATTTGTTATTTTGGGATAAAATATTGTATTATTGTAGCAAATTACTGGTTGCATGTTGATTAAATTGGATTGTGTGGAATTAGAAAGAGGGGTTTTGAGTTGTTTGAAAAATGTAATGGATTCGGTAGGATTCTTGTTGCATGTGGGGTTTGTGATGTTTTCTGAATTGCATGTTGATGGTAAAATTGTTTTCTTGCAAGTGCAGGTGTTGGGTCCCTTTGGGTTGCAAGTTTTGATGGATTTTGAGTGAAAAACATGTGGGAAGCCATGGAAGGGCAGAAAGTTTAATCTGGAGCACTGAATTGAGCGCTGCAGTGCTGGGGCTAGATGACTGAATTTGGTCTTAGGGTATTCATGAAAGTTGTAGCCTTGGATGTTATCTTTCCAATGGCACAAAAATCACCCAAAAAGGAGGTCTGGAACTTCAGTTATGACCTTTTTAGTGAGTAAAGGTAAAGCTGTCAGGATGTAAGCTAGTTGTTGCGGTTTTTAAAATTTTTAACAAATTAGATGATATAATTAGGACTTTATGTCTTCATAAGAGTTGTAGGAAATCTTCTTATATTTCATATGAGATAAGGATTAGCATTATAGGAGTAGTATAACTCCAAATATGGCTATTTTAGTGAGCATAGGTCAAGCTGTCAGCATTGGTTGTAGTTGTTGCGGTTTTTAAAATTTTTAACAAAGTAGATGATGGAATTAGGACTTGATGTCTTCATGAGAGTTGTATAAAATCTTATTATCTTTCATTTGAGCTAAGGATGAGAATGATAGGAGTAGTATAACTTCATTTATGATATTTTTTGTGAAGGTTGCCATTTCACACTAAGTGATTTGGTTAAGTTGAAAGTTGTTTTTGGTGTTTAGGTTGATGTATGTTGTTTATATGTGTAAGTTGGCTTGATAAATGCGTTGAAAATATGTAGTATGAGTTGTATTATGTGATGAAATTGTTGTGTATTGATATATATGATAAAATGTTGAAAATGATGAATGTTGTAATATGATGAGTAAACATAGTTGTGAGTTGACTGTGTTGTTCAAGTTGAAAGTTGGTTGAGATAATAAGTTAAAAAATGAGTTGATTGTGCTGTGATGATGAGTTGTTGATCACTAGGATTAGAGGAGATGTTTTCGAATTTGTTCATCCCTTTGGGGGGATTGAGATAGTTGTGGTGTTCTAAGAGCCAAATTTGTTGAAAAACCCTCCTTGGAAAGTTGTCCCTTGGAGTGGATGATGTGTTGTTCTCCTCTAAGACTTAGTTGATCCCGTGTCTGGGCAAGGTTGAGGCACAAGTGTATGAAGCGACCACAAGATAGGGGTCAGGTCAAACTATACCGATTACAAGCGGCCAATTCGAGTAAAGTACGAAGTCAGGAACTTAGTTCCTAACCGAGTATCGGAGAGTTGTAGTATTTGGAGGATAGTCAGTAGGCTAATCCCATATGTGGCTTAGTTGAGCTAGCTAATGTCGTGGTAGGCCTAAACCCAGCTGTCATATCCTGATATAGTATTATACTTCCTTATTTAAGTGGCAAAGTCTAGGAAACTGTTATAGTGTTGTGGATTTTTATCCAAATTTGTTGTTTACCTAACAAGCCCAAAAAGGTTTTGTGTTGTCGGTTTGGTAGGAGCTAGCCACTTAGACTGTTTACCCTGTGTTGTAGGAGATCCCCGAGTTGAAATGTGTGACGACGCATATGTGTTGATAAGTTGTATGTGTTGATATGTTGTGAAGTTGTTATAAAGTTGTGTGTTGTCTATGTGTTGCGTGTTGCATGATGAATAAGTTGTTATTGTTGATAGTGATGTTGTGTTGCAGGTTTCTTTTATATTCATGTGTTGTTTAAGTATTATGTGTTATATGTTGAACAAGTTGAGGAAGATGATGACAATGATGCAAAATTGCCTGTGTTGTATATTTCATATATATGAGTTGTTTATTTTTACTAGCTTATCCTTACATGTTTCCATGTAGTTTGGACTGCAATGATCATACGATGTATGGGAGCAAGACAGATAGATTGGTGTTAGATGATGGAGGTCACTTGATGGTAAGAGTTGGAGAGTTATATTTTTGTTGACTACCCTTAGTGGTAGAGTTTATTTTATAGACAGTTGTATATATTTTATGGCCTGTTGAGTCATTACTGTTGGATGATTGTAGTTTTACTTATATTGATTGATAGTATACTATTTAGTATATATTTTCAATTAATTTTAGTTGTTTCTCCGTAGTATGACGACAAAGACGGGTCGTTACAATTTTAATATAACCATATATAAACAACATCATATATGACATATTTATATTTTTAAAATATATGAATATATATTGATTTATATTTATTAAATTGTTATTTTTTTTATAAATATTCAATAACGTTATTGATATTAATTATCAATAATCAATAACAATACTAATACTAGTATTATATTTAAGTTTTATTTATTTAATAATAATAAATATATTTTTACACATGAATGAAATTTTCAATTCATATAATTTAATTTGGTCAATAATTATATAATTATAGAATATTTTTTTAACTTAATAATATATTAATATACTTATAATATTATTTATTTTAATTTATCAATATTAATAATAATAATATTATATAATATGTATAATATATATTATCTATAAAAATGTATAATATATGCATATATAATTATTTGTTTCATAAAAGTAAATTTTCACTCAATGTATATATTATAACTTTTATTTTTACATTAAAGAAATTTATTGATGTAGCAATAGTTATTGGACATTATAGATCGATTGTTATACAAAAGATTAACTCAAGTTTTTAATTTAATTCTTATAAACATTTTTCCTTAAGAAGATTTTCTTAAGAATGGAAATTTGGATAGGGATGAGGCTTAAATGACAAAAAATTAATGCAAATATTGAACTCAGAAATAATGTTTAATTTTTAATTTATAGCAAATTACAATTATAATATGAGTCAAAATCTAGTGAATTATTGGGGTCAAAATCTAGAGTGAGGTTAGATAGACATATGGCCCCTCACAAACTTCCTTGCTCACCCTTTTTATTATGAGTAATAAATGAACGAAATCTATCCAACCCTTCTTCACTACAACAAAAAATAATTTGCATATTATTTTCACTAAATTTTGTTACTAATTTTTTTATAAAAGAAAAAAATCTGTAGTAATTTTTTAGTTTCTTTGGGAAACCAACCAAGCCCATCAAGGGAGCATAACTACGATCATTCATACCCAACGTGATCACATAGTTTGGGCCCTTGGGCTTTACTTGACTTATTATGGGTATCGTTTTGTCGCATTTGTAATACAATGTATTTTAATTTTTTAATGTCATGTTAATTTTATTGACAATTAATTTTCATAAAAAAATAGTTGGTAAAATATATTGAATTTTTCTTCTAAAAAAATCTTTAACTCAGCCTTAACCAATATATGTGAATTACAATGTCTCCTTTTTAAATTTGAAACTTCACTTTCGCCAAATATTTCAGGAAATGGCCCTTTTTCAGAGCAAGGCATAATGAGACATTTCAGAATTCAGTAGTATTTTCAGGTCCTTTAGAATCAACTGCTAAGCCAACAATGGTAGCATTAAAGTGAAGAATATTTCAGAGTTTGAGACCTACAAAGATAAGGGTAGACCAAAATATTGTTCCCCTTAGATTAATATAAATCAAATAGATAAATGAAATATTGTTCAGATTCCCAACAAGAAAACAGCCATTTAATATTCGTATTTATATGAAAAAGATTTGAAAATGGATAAAATGCATGAAAACCAAACATATTAAGGGCAACTCAGTCATAAGACTCTACTGTGGTGGTTCTTGGGAAGGGTTAGATGTATGCAACTATAACTTCTAAACCATTAAATCACAAGGTAGCAAGAAACCATATTATTGCACTGAGGTGTGACTCATAATCAGAACAGGTAACAAGTAAAATATAAACCAACCTCACAATGATGTCGAATCTTTATGCTTGCATGGTAACTTCATAAGGACAGTGAAATATTTTTCAACATGTTGAATCTTTATGCTTGATGCATAAGGTATATTCTTACTTTCCCAGGATATACTTATCTTAACTACATGTGTTGGAGAAATATATTCCAACAAGTCCACAAATACATCATAACCAACAGCTGAAATGCAAGAGAACAGAAGCCATTGAGCAAGTGCCATAAATCAATATCATGATACATAATATATTGCTATCATTCTAGAAAAGAAATAGTTTGTGTGCGGTAAAAGTATAAAAGAAAAGTGAAAAAGTGAGCTTGCCTTTCACCCACCAAGGAGTATTCACAAAAAGAGGCAACTCGATCTTAGAAGGATTTTCTCCCTTCTCAGAGGTGCAATACTCTATTTTGGTAATAATCATATATGGCAAGTATGTGACTTAAGAATGTTGAAGGATCTCTCTTAGAAGAAACATCACAAAGAAAAGGCATGTGTTACAAATAAATGACATACTGAAGGGATTCCATTACATGTTCTATCAAATAATACCCGAATTGCTTGACACTTGCATGATTGAATACAAAGATCCAACACACAAAAAAAAAAATCATCCATATGTCCGGTGAAGGAGAAGAATCCATCCAATGCAGCCTTTATTGATTAAACAACTTTTCTGTTCACCAAATTTCCCAATGGCATAAGGGTGAACATGGTTCAAAAGAAATTAAAAGCTTGTGTTGGTGGCTAAGATATGTTAGAATATAACAGAATAACTATCATATCCTGTTGTAATTAATTGTTTAGTTCAACAGTAGGATATGGTTTGCTTATCTTATCATCTACCCTATTTTGTTTGTGTAGCCAATGTATTTTTATCTTGTGAGAAGAGTTGAGTTAACAAGAAACAAGATAGTATAGTCATTCTCTCTCCCTCAACGCAACCACCATTACCGAAAAGTAGATTTAGCAACAAAAGTAGAAAACCAACCATCCCATCCCAAAAACAGAAACAAAAGCTGCACAAAACCACACCCTCTTCAAAAGGCTAAATATTGCACCACAAAAGTGTGAAAACTGAAAACAGCGCATAGAAAGCACACAAACCCAGAAACAACACACCAGCCATGTACATGTAACCCAAATATGCCAAAATCTCAATATTCATCTCATAGCTTCTCATTAACCAAAAACAGAACTACATAATAACCTCTAATAAAAAAATATTAAAAAAAAAAACTACTTAATACTCTTATCTAACTTCTAAATATCATTTTTTTTCCTTGAAACTTTATACACGAGTTCTTGTTCCTCATCCAAGGAAAAGAAGAAAGAGGAATAACAAGCATTTAGAACAAAAACACAACTCCTCTAATAAAATATAAACAAAGTAATTTCCATGGCCTGACACAAACACACACACACACACATAATTTGCTATGTATGTGCATGTAACATCTCCAACACATCCTCGTACTTGTGTATCTCACTGCTGAAACGAGTAACTAATCAGTAACTGAAATTACTCCTTTTCTAACTCTTCCTTTAGAGAAGTCAAATTTGATGAGCAAATGCAAACACTATACACCCCTTTTCTTCTTCTAACATGCATTTGGTAGCTGAATGAGGCGAAATCATTTGGCTTTCTGAACATGGCACTTGAAGACCGTTTCCAAATCCGGCGGAGTGAAGAACTCCCTGACGGTGTTCCCGCACCGCGAAGGGCGGCGCTTCCTGGGCGCCGGCGGGCACGGCAGCTTCTCCGGTATCCTGGCTTCCTTGGCCGTGGGCGTGGTGGAGCGCGCCTCTCCGTTGTCGCCGTCTTCGCCGCCAACGCGCTTGGTGTTTATGGGCTTGAGCGGGCGGAGAGCGATTCCGGCGATGACCCACTTCTTGGAATCGGGTTCGAGGTCGGAGTGGGAGAAGCCCATGTTGAAAAAAAAGAAGGAAATGGGAAAAAGGTTTGAACTTTTTGGTGGGAATGGAAGAAGGAGAGGAGGAAGAGGGAATATGAGAAAAGGGTATTTGTTTTGGGGAGAAGAAAGAAAGGAGTGAGAGAGAAAGAAAGGGGTGACCGGGGTTTTACGGGCAGAGAACCTGCGTGCTTTTGGCGCCAAAGTTTGGTTGCTTTGGCCAGCAACGGCTCTTTTTCCCGCCTTTCGATTTTTCAGGTGAATTTCCTCTTTTGCCCCTTTTATTTTTGTGATTTTAGTTTTTTTTTTTAATTTATTAAATTAGTTTCTAGGGAGTGGTGTTGTTTGAGCACAAATACCAGCGCTGAATGAAAGGGAAGCGATACGACTTCGTTTTGCACCTCATAACGTCATTTTTTATTTTTTTTTTATATTCATTTTATTCTCTTGTTCTTTACTTGCAAAGTTTGATTTGATTCTCGCTGATAATGTTTTGTTATCGATTATCACACTCCATACTGAGAAATATTTTTATGTTTAGTTTAATTTAAAATTTAAAATTTAAAATTTATTTATAAATATTTATATATTAAGTATGAATCATACAAGTGTTTTTATTTTTAATGAAAGGATTTATAAGAATTTTTATAATTTTTTATCTATTTATATTTTTAGTTATTATAATTACTTATTAATTAAATATTAATATTTTAAAATAAATTATTAAAAAATAGTTAAAAAGATTATAATATAAATTATTTATTATAATTTTAAAATATAATTATATGTTTAAAAAT